ACACCCAGATGGAAAACATTAATGCGCAGAGGTTTCTAGAATTTTTAAACACACTTGGTTTGGTTTGTTTGTTACTTGTTGTGGAATTGGCCGCGGTGGTAGTGCGCTCGACTCACGATCGGAAGACCGTGGGTTCGATTCCCGCTTCGACCAGATATTTTTCTCGAGAGAATTTATTTGGTTGAAACTGGAATGATTCTGCAACCGTATTAGGAATCACACGTTCCTACTTTTTTGAGGTAGCTCTGACCAGGAATTGTATGACCTTACAGTGATGATGAATACATAGCTGAGTTTGTTACTTTCAGTGGCTACAAAAATCGATAGAAAAAACTAGATGTCCGTATTTAAAAAATAAATTGATGACGAAATCTAATGAACGAAACGTCGCATTGCCAACCAATTCACAAACTAAATACTACATTGCAAATATGTCTACCAAAGTATTGAAAAAACAACATGAATCTATCAAACAAAAACTAATCGTTTTCCAAAAATACATTACTAGTGTTAAAAATACCATTTCCGCGAATCAAAGATTAGTAATTGTCTTCAAGAGAGAACCATTGACGTCCACTTGTAAGGAACTTTCTGTGAAACAGAAAGAGAGCCAAAAATAATATTTGTCTCATATTTGATGGAATAAGCCTATATTTGATGAACATCCATTATGTATACTAATGTATACATACAGTACGAACATGCCTCAGGAAGCTATTAAAAAGCGAAATACGTTTTGTGAATTGTTCACTGAAAATCTCAGAATGAGTGTAACTTAAAAAAATCTGACAAGTTTATTAGTAAACCTTCATGCCAGATACACTCAAAGGTCACTTATAGTAAAGCAACTGGTTGTTTTTTTTGAAGACGACAATCCGAGGTTTGTTTACTTATTCGACATTACTACATCATTATATTCGTATAATAGTTCTGAGTCTGTATTTTTTTGGGGGGAGAATATCCTATAACATCCTTTAGAAAAAATTTTTTAAAATATAGTACTATTTTGTCCAAAAAGTGGTGGAACTTAATTAAATTTCGAGTAAACCAAATGCAATATTTTAATATTTTTGAAACAGTTGTAAAAAAACGCAAACTACAATTATCACAGACTCATAATTTCACCATCAAAGAGAATGTGCGCGTATTATATTTAATAGCCATAACATTTGACAAGTCATTTGATTTAATTCGTCAAGTTTGTGGCTATTCGTAAGTGTTACCTGTGATGGTTTCTAACCAAAACTATTCACGAAACAATCAATGAGCGAAATTCCGAGTGATTATGCTCCACCTTTCCTATATACCGTTGGTAACCCTATACGGGGTGTTTATTAAACATGCGGCAAAACATTAAGAAACTATTCCTTGGACTATTCTAATGATATTTTGTCCCTTGATGATTTTTGATAGGGCGCTTTGTTTCGAAGATACGGGGCGCAAAAGAATTTCGATAATAACAATTTTGGTGATTTTCAAATTGTTAACGTAGGTATACGAAATAAAAGTATAGCGTACTACACTGGACCTACCAAGTGATAAAAAATCTAACAATTCCATTGATATCTATCATTCCGATTACTACAAACGGGTGCAGACATTCACTCGTAAGTGATCCTGGTGTTTTTGAAAGAGTTCGGGAGTCGATGAGGAGAAGATTGGATTCTTGTATCCGAGCGGGGGGTAGTCGTTTTCAACAGAATTCAATGATATAATATGTAAAGTTAAGAAATAAAATTTTATATGGAGTACAGCACGTCGAATAGAAAAAATCACAAAGTGAAAGTTGGAAGCTACAAAGTGATTTTCATCCATATTACAAAATTGGAAATTTTAACGCTACGTCAGCGTTTATTTAGACACGGCTTTATAAGTGTATGAAAACAAGTACCACTGCAATTCATTTGTCTCCATCAACTGCTTATACCATTGTTCAACAAGGTCAGGGCTTAGCCATTACGTTATAATGGAATGTACAAAAAAATTCAACTGGAACATAATCTAGTCAAAGTTGGTATTGCATTGCTATATAAACATTATAAAGCTACAGGAAATAGTGGTTTCGAAAAATTTTAATAATGATTTTTCATTCTTCATTTTATTCAATGCAGAACATATACCTCCACATGCATACAGTATTACCCATATAAAATAAAAGCACCTTATAAATCATAAATTTCTCAAGCGATTTTTTTCACAAGGTAGACACTCGAGAAGTCTACTATAGTACAATTCTATAATAGTAGGCACTAAATTCTCAGAAATATTATTGCATTAAAATGGAAATATTGTTGTCAAGGTTGTGATTCTATATATTTTATCATCATTTTTTCTCATCTGTTAAGTATAATTTCCGTACGCCACTGCAAAAGACAAATTAAGGCAAAAACGTTAGTCATTTCTGAGAATGTAGTGCCTATTATTTTGGAAAAATAGTGTAGACTACTAGAACATAACATTTCATGAATGATTTTTCGTTTTCAAAGACAATTTTTGTTACTTTTCAATTTTGAAAATGGAAAAAATAATCAATATCAATTATTCCACTAATTCAATTTTAAAACTCTCAGCAAGTTCTGGTTTATCACAGTCTAAAATTCAATTACATCGAATTTTGTTCATTACTGAAAAAATTATAATAGTCTAGTCCGAATTTACTAATTTTCCATTGAACATTTTTCAAATGATGGAACAGATTTTCATGAGATTCTAGATAGTCATAAACCAAAATCCAGTGGACTCGTCAGACTTTTGATGATAGTTCCAAAATGTATTTAGTGGGATGATTAAAATTTCATTTCTTTTATAACGACGAACGCATTTCCACCTGTTTTGACAAACCATTTCAAAACATAGACAGATTTTGTTTTGTTCGTTAATGAATTTATCATTTTTTGACAATAAAAAATAAAAGTTGGCCCTGAAAATGAGGACTTATTCATAAAAATGATGTCTACCAAATTACCAAAAAAAAAAGGTTCAAAAATATATATTTCATACAGGTCCTTCCATTTCAAATGGGCCACACTGTATTTACAGTGAATAAAAATTATAAGAATGACTTCCAAGAAGTTTTCGCTTTTTCTATTCATATATCCTTTACCAGAAATATTTTACAGAAATGTAGTACAGGAAAATTAGATCCAAATCCAAGGTTCCTAAAGAAAAACACATTTAATTATCCAAAGTTGTTCACCAGGCAATTTGATGAATTACTTCATTGAAAATGTTGTTTTCTTCTTTCGACAACTCAAGTCAACAAGAGGGTTGAGCCCTCGAACAAACTGAGCAACTCAGTGGTAACATCGCAATACAATGAAGAAAATAAGAAATGATATATTAGGAGGATATGTGACTGTGCAAGAATATTTCGGTTTTTCTGCACATTTGTCAGTCATCAAGATCACTCATCAAATAAAGTAATCGGCTTCATTGATCAGCCGGAGTTATTAGGTTGGGTTTGAATATTTGTGAGCCACAATATACCCTCGCCGTTTGCAGTGGAGGGTCGAATGACCTGCGCTAGGCTACTCTGTCCCCACCAGTAGAAACAGCTTGCAGAAGAAAAGAAGATCTTGTTGATACCAAATAGGAGCCATGACATATTAAAACAACACTCTTAATTCAAATATATTGAATTGATTATATAACAAATATGATATACAGTGATATGTATTTGTATTTCATTGATTTTTAATGTGCCAACCATGACATTAATTGTCTCATGGTTTTTATTAGTGACTGTATATCATGAGGTGATCTGAAAGGATTGAATGAAAGTTATTATAAACAGCAACTGAGCTAATAAAATCATGAAATGAAATATTTGTTGACTCCAAACAATCAAGTATTAAATATTTTTAAAATACCTATTCAATCTTGTCTGCAAGACATATTGTCAATAATAGATATATTTATACTTGCTGCTGCCAGCAGCTTCAGTCGTCGGACACGAGAAAGAACTTGACTACGCTTCCTGAGGAGGGGAATTCTAACTCTGAGGTTAATCTAACTGATGATACCCAGAAGGGTACGAGAAAAACTAAGTCGACCTCTTCTTTGATGGATGATGAGAAGTCACAGGACTAATAAAATCATGAAATATGAAATATTTGTTGACTCCAAACAATCAAATATTAAATATTTTCAAAATACCTATTCAATCTTGTCTGCAAGACATATTGTCAATAATAGATATATTTATACTTGCTGATGCCAGCAACTTCAGATTTTGAGTTTTCCTAGATTTTTTGACTGCAAAAAGGTCTCTTAGTATTTGTCCATCTTTGATTTTTAGGAGAATCGATTCATAAAACATAAATATATAGTTAAAAAAAGCTTCAGCCAAATCAACACAACAGTATATTTATTCATTTTTTCAAGGAACGATTGATTACCGAACACACAGGGTCAGTTACATTCTTATTATATGCATTTCGAGTGCTCTCAGGACAAAGTAAATATCATTAGAACCCTAATTTATTTCACATTTTTTATTATAATTTCTGTGTGAGTAAATACATTCTCAAAATAAATTAAAATTCCCAATTACTTACGAGCCAATTTGTACCTCCATCATAAATTTTACTAAAAAAATATGTACTTTGCCAATTTTTCTGCTGATTTTTTTATTTCTTCTTATTTCTTTGAGGCTATTCTGAACATTTTCTTGACTTCACCTATACACGTATAATCTACACCTTTCTTGAAACCTTTCCTGTGTTTGGAAATATATTATTAGATTGTTTTGGAATGTTCAAGTCTGTAAAATTTTTATGCAATTTCTAAGTCTGATAACCTTGTTTAAATTGTCTGAATCACTTGGGTTTGTCAAATGAGAAAGAATGAATACCTTTTTCTTTGATTAAGATTAAGAGAGTCTACACCATTATTGTTTATGACAGTAAATACACCTACAACGATTTTTTTTCTTTGGATCTGTTGGTTGTGTTACAAAAATCATACTACAAATGAATGTAATATTGTGTGGGTTGAAAAGTATTGCTAACTTTTTTTTCCATTTGGAATATGCCTTCCACAATGAGGGCCACCATCGGCGAGGCCGTCAGAGGGCGCTGTCAAGACGACAGTTTAACATTTAAACAGCTACTTATGTGCCTGAGAGATGAACGTTTCAGGTCTTCCTGATTATTCCATTGAAATCGGCGAACTGTCCATAATGTGTCCAGTTTTATACCTTTGTACATGGTTTTCTAGGACGAGGATGTGTTTTGCTTAATTTTACTGAACTACTGTGAAACCCAACCTGAAACAAGTTCTTTCGGGAATTTTGCGATACCGAGATAATTATTCTTGGAATTCCTTCACACCAATACTCAATAATTCAGTGACAGTGGCAAAATGTCGTCACATATTCAATTGTGGGGAGAAAATGACCACCGTTTTATTTTACTAACCATAAATCACACGTCTTGGCACCGATCGAAGCGAATCACCTAACATGGCATAAAATCAAAGAGTAGGAAACCACATCATCCCTCCTGGTCTATTTTGAACTTACATCTCTAAACTGCACTAATCCCAACTCTCCCAATTCTGAGACACACGCATACGCCGCCTCGCTCTGCAAGAAAAGCTGGCACAAAGTCATTTCGGCACTTCTGAACAACGAACCCATTTTGGCGATTTTCGATAACACTGAACCTTCGCACTACAAAACAGAATTGATAACTATTTTAAATAAATTTTTGTCGATACCACGTACAGCCCCTTCTGGCTCGTGGGCGAATGACAATGGCCTCGTAGACATCGGCGGATAAGAAAGTTTGGAGTTTGCGACTGCGCCTTCCATCATGACGTACGCGAGAGAGTCGACAGTATTGACGTTTTTTGCCATAAGCGGGTGTCGGGATAGGATTGGGGGATATATCTATAAGTCGAAAGAAATA